CAATTATTGAGCTATCGAAAACACTTTTTTTTTCATATATTTGATAATCAAAAAGATACTTTTATGTGTGAACACATTTATTTTTGTTTATCTATTGAAATAATATAATGTCCAAAAATTCGAATGACATATCATTGTCAAATACTTATACACATGCGATGATAGATCGATGGCATGCGTCCAAAAATGAGTTCAAAATCAACGTGTGCATCTTATCATTTGAAGTTCATCAGTTAAAAAGAATCTAGCGTGAGAGAAGTATATCATGAATTGTTTTTTTAAAAAAAAAACAACCCGAAATATTCATTTGAACATATGCTTTCATGATTCTGTTAATTCAAAAAAGCGTAAGTTCTTTTTCTCTTCATCAATCTAAAATACATTTTTAGGAGAGAGAGAAAAAAAAAGAAGATCGAAAATGAATGATATAATTGTGTCATTCTAATCCTTCTTTCACTCTCCGCCCATTAATCTTAGTCGAACACTACCGGTGTCCGTTGACCACATTTGTCAATCGTTATGCTTGTATATTAGAAGTCAATCAGACTGTCTGTTATGGTGATTAGCAGGGGAGCTGTATTTTTACATGTCTCTGCTAATATCTGGACAGACAGACAGACTGATAATTAGAAAAGAAAGAAAGGGGGGAGGTTAAACTATAGAAATATATATATAAAGAGAAGGATAGTTATAATAATGTTTAGTTAGAAAGAAAAAAAAAGTTTGTTTATTTTTCTGTTCAAGAGAAATATACCCTTATATATATATACTCATTTCCGCTCATTCTATTCTCATATTTGATATTTCAGATAAAAATTATACTTTTCTTCAATCATCATGAATAATAATGATGATGGTCATAGTTATGAAGGTTTACTATTAACATCAACTACATCGAATAAACGTTCATTAACAAATCATTTTGTTGATTGTGTAAAAAAAACGAAATATTTCGTACCTTGTACAATATTATCTCCATCAAAAACAACAATTATTGATCAACAATCCTTTAAAGAAAATCCTTCATCTTCATTAAAAAAAACCTCTTGAACAACAACAGCAACCACCAAAACGAGGTAATTATCACTTTCTTCATGGAAAAAAATAACGTTCATTTATTTATTTGTTCCAGGTTCGTTATGTATTGCATATTCAATCTCAAATGATGATCAAATCGATAATTTAATACTAATATTACACGGTAAAAACACATGGCTCATTTTTTCTTCTGTCTATCTATTTCTGTTTTCTATCATTTTTTAGTATTACGAGCTCGACAATTATCAATTCAAGATTCTGATAAAATCAATACATTTGTTAAAGTAAAAGATTTGTTTCAAAAAAAAATCTTATTTAAACAATTATCTTTTTTAGGTTACATATCCTAATCAATTCGAGCAATGTTCAAAAATTATTCATGGAACTAATTCGCCTGTCTATGATGAAAAATTTCATATGTAAGATAATCAATCAAATGAGATATATTGTTTTTATTTTTTTTCTTATTTTAAAGACCTTTAAATAAAACAAATTTATCAACAACAACATCGAAACGTTTGACAATCTCTGTTTATAATCAATCGATATCAAATAAAAAGTAAGTTTGTGTGAAAAAGATGATATATGTATATATCTAGTAGAAATGTTTTCTCTCAAACACTATCTTCAAACGAACATTATTATGACAAGTTTTGTTAGATTTTTTTTCTCGTGTGAAAACAATAATCGAATCGTCTTCATTTTGTTTTTGTATTCTACGTGTAAAGAAGATTCACTATCTATTCTCCCTTAACAACACATATGTTAATCTGACGATATCGAATAAGAAACGAAAGAGAGAACAGGAGGAAAAAAAAAGAAGATATATACATTATATAAATATATATATTTATTCATTCATTTTTATAATTTAGAAGTGACTTAATCGGATGTATGTCATTTAATATGAAGACTCTTCTTAAAACAACTAGTTGTACAAAGGTAAGAAAATCGATTAAATTAAAGTGTGAAAAATTGATTTTTTGGCTTTTTCTTTCACTCAATGTGATATATTCTATTAAAATAATATAAGGTGTAAAATGATTGATTTGTTATTTTTTAGAATTCATCGAAATCGAAATGGTATTGTTTATTACCAGAATCAATTGGAAGACATAAACGTATGGCATTAAATATAGAAAATACATCATCACAAAATAAGAAAACAACAACAATAAAAGAAAATTCGAACAATCAATCGAATGGATTTTTATTAAATGTAAGTTTACTAAAAATTAAATCATATTCATCAGATAAAATATATATTTTAATGCATATTTGATCATTACAATAGATAAGACATATATATATATACATATGAGCATATTTCAAAGTTAATCATGAAGAAGAAAAAAAAAGGATTGATATTGCTCAATTTGCTTACCAATAATAACATTGATCTTCAGGCAATTTCAATAAAAATTTTATTTTTATTTTAGGTTGATATCTATGATCGGGATGAAATTCATTTTTCGTCGGGATTCCCATGTACAATAAGTGAAGTTAAATCAGCTATTGGTTCTTCATGTACACGACCAATGATAGGTGATATACTTCTCAAAATAAATGATATAAATGTATCAAGAACACAAGCTAAAGCTGTTAAAAAATTATTAAGGTTTGTAAAATAATTATATCAATATATCTATATCATATTTTATTAATATAAATATAGAAGTTTACCATTACCCATAACTCTTCAATTATATCGTCGTTTTAATTCCTCAACAACAACAAATAAAATTGTTTTAAATTCTGTTGATCAACATGAACCATTAAAACGAAATTTATGTACAAATGTATTACCTGAGAAACCATACAAAACAAATTATTCTCAATCATTACTTATGTCACCAATTAATCGAAAGCTATCTGAATCACAAAGTGATGGAAGTGAATCAGGTGTTGGATCAGAAAGTAATCCTTATTCTGATGGGGATCAAGATAATCGATTAAAAATTATATCCAAAGCTTACGAACGTGATGTTTTACATTTAATTAACATTGAAAAAGATTTTATTCATCAAATTGAACTTGGTGTTCAATTATATTCTCGTCCATTAAAACATTATTTAATTTCATCCAATGAACATGCTAAATTATTTCAAAATATTGAAAAAATCTTAGCTATATCACGTTATCAATTAAGTCGTTTACAAACTTTAACAGAAAGTATTATTATTGGTTGTATTGGTAAAATATTTCATGAAAAAATTCAATTAATATGTGAAGCATTTACACGGTATAAATCGGGTTATTCAGATGCATGTTTACAATTAAAACAATTAAAAAAATGTGCTAGTTTTCAAAGATTTATACAAGGAAATAATACAAATCTTTCTATTGAACAGTTCTTACAAATACCTTTAAATCATATCGATAATCTTGCGAATCAATTAGATATATTATGTTGTACATGTGAAAATGCTAGTGATTCAAATTATCTTCTACATGTTCTTAAAGAATTACGTCAATGTTCATTACATATGTCAACAACATCATCATCATCATCAACATCAACATCGACAAGTCAAAATCATTGTACAACAACAATGTCATTGAACAGTGTCAGCGGAACATCATCATTAATGAATAATACTGAAGATAGTGATATTATTGAATTACAAAATCGTCTTCAATTTACAAAAAATATTCAAGTAAGATTCATATACGTATATTAAATTTTGCTTATTTTTATTTTATTTAGTCTGTTGTACTTACGGGTCGAAATCGACATGTGATTTTTTCAGGTGTACTTCTATTACAAAATGAAAATAAGAACTATATCGAGACATGGACTGTTCTATTAAATGACATGCTTTTATTTACACAACGAAATGCAATTGATACACGATTGACCTTAGTTTGTAATGCAATTTATTTAAATGATATTGTTGATTTTCGATCAAGTGATGAACGTATGTAGTTATTTTTCTATTGTTAAATATATATATATGTCATTTCTTTTTTTATAGGACAAGATGCATTGATATTTCTTTCAAATAAACCGAATATGCCATATAAAATTCGTTATCCAAGTCAATGTTTACAATATGCATGGCAAACAATACTTGAACAACGTCTTAAAACATGGCAACGATCAATTCATGATGAATCATCATCAGCTGATTCAGATCTTGAATAAAAAATAAATCAAATTTTGCTTTTCTTTTCTTAGTATCAATCTCTTGTCGTTTTGTACATAGTTTCTTTTTTATACAAAAATTGCAATAGCCATGTCTTATACATAAAAAAAATGAATTCTTATTTTTTGTTGATGTGTGTTTCGTGTTCGATTGTCTCAATGTTTTATTTGTATTATTCATCTCCTGAATTCTTTTTTCTTTACTTCCATTCTTCTCTCCCTCTGTTTATTATTGTAGTAATATATATATGTGTGTGAGTGTGTGAAACGAAAAACAATTGAGTAGATAATAATAATTATCTAGGTTAATTTATTATTTTTTTTTGTGATGAAATATATAATTGATGGTAGAAAAATGAAATCTCGTTTTAATTAAATTCGATTGAAATTCATCTAGATATTCTCAACTGTCATGTTATATTAATAAAATATAAAATAAGACAAATGATGAGTATTCTACATAATTGTGTTTACCCATTCGGGAATAGCGTCATTCTTTGTTTTTTTAATATGAAGAATAGTTGCAAATATATATATATATATATATGTATATTAAAGAAGTTGGGACGAGTTGAATGCATGTCGTAAAAAAAAGCGCGTGTCGCTGTTACAGCAACGAAACGAAAAAGGCGAAAGACAAAAAAAGAAAAAGAGAAAACTGAGAAATGTATCATACGAAAAAAAAATAAAGAAAAGTGAAGGCAGACAAGGATAGTAGCAAAAAAAAGAGTCGTGATATGTAGTATTGTTTTGATGAGTATAAACGAGAGAGAAGAAAAAAATGTAAAGAAAGAAAATGAAAATGAAATGAAAATGTTTAACTATTATCGCGAACTTTTGTTTTTGAATTCGAATTTGAACGCATTTGCCTTTGTTGTTGATGAAGATTTGTTGGTGTACCTTGTCGTGGTCGATAATCAAGTTTATAGCCTTCTGAAAAAAAAAAATTTTTCAAATAAGATTATTTCTATTCGGTTTTAGTTTTTACCTCTATTATTATGCGAATAAGTTGAATCAGATGAATACTGTTCAGGACAAGCAAATGCTAAATGTCCAAGATCACCACAAGTATAACATGCTTTTGTTTTTATATGTTGTTGTTGCTGTTGCTGTTGTTGTTGAGAATAAGATGTTTGAGGTTGCCGTTGTTGTTGCGGATGGAATCCATTTTGTTGCTGTTGTTGTTGAAATTGCATCGGATCAGATGGATAATATTGTCTATGACGATGATGTGACTGTTGCTGTTGATGATGATGTTGTTGTTGTTGCTGTTGTTGTTGTTGATGTTGATGTTGTTGACGAGATGTTGATTGTGGTGGTGGAGATGGACGATGATTTTGTCCATTTTGTTCGGGTGGTGTATTAGTACCATTGGATTGTGTTGTTGAACGTGAATTAGATATAGATCCTTGTGAAACATTTGATGTTTGTACAAAATTAGCACCTGTTGAATTAGATGGATTAGATGGTATGGCTGCCATATTTGGAGTAAATAATCGCATAAAATCAGGTGTTGTTGATGGAAAACCAGGCGGAATAGCGATTGGAAATATATATGGTTCAGCTGGATTATATAAAAACGAATGTGCAGTTAATAAAGGTACATGATGTTGAGTTTGTGATGGACAATTTGATGTTGAAGGTGGTGGTAACGGTAACGGAGGTGGAGGAATATTATTTGTTCCTCCTGTTGGTGCACCAGTGGGTACACCGGGTTTAGGCAATTTTGGACTAGGACTTGATGATAGAGATGGATGAACACCGGCTAAATTAATAAAAATAGAATCAAATTGATTTCGATCTGAACTTGAAAGTGATAGCGTACGTGATGGTTGCTGTTGTTGTTGAACAACAGTCATTAAAGCTGCATCTAGCAAAGGTGGTAAAGATACTGGTAGAGGTAGTGGTGGTGGTGGTGATAGTGATGTTAATGTTGTTGTAGGCATTTGAACAAAAGTACATGATGTTGGAGAATTTTTATTATTGCTATTTAAATGGACACTCATTGGTCTAAATTAAAATAAAGAAATAAAAAAATATCTAATACATGTATTTAAATTTATTTACTTTAAATCATCTAAAGCATCACAAAGTAATTGTGCTGTACTTGCATCAAGTCCATCAGCAACAAGATCTGCTGGTGTTAATTTTGCTAACTAAAATTAGAATTTAATAGATAGACAATGAAATAAATACATTGAATTATATAATTTACTTCATCCATTGAATATCTTCGAAGATAATCTTGATGTTCAGCAAGTATAAAACCGGGTCCAGGCATTCGATCAGTTTGAGTTTCTTCACAACGAACTTCTAATCCTGTTTGTGTACCATTATGTGTAGGAATTATTGAACGTGCTTGTTTAGCTACATCAGTCTGTTGTTTACTTTTATTATTACTTAATGATAATTTAGGTGAACAAAGTGTTTTATTCTCAGATTCAGTTGGCTGTTGTACAGGTAATTCACATTCTTAAATATAGAAGAACAATTTTGTTATGAGAAGAACAAAAACCAAATTAATAAAAATTAATTACGAAGTGGAGTCATTCCATTGGAAAAAGATGATGATGATGATAATGATTCATCAAAACCATTACTTGAGTTAAATAATCGTTGTTTGGAATCAACAAGTTTAAGAGATGAATTGAAAAATTTTGCTAATGTTGATATAGTAGAAATATATGACGAAAAATAGACAAGATGTCTAATAAGAAAAATTTTATTTAGTTTTTTTTCATATTAAATATTTGCAAAAAAATTATATTCAATAACTTACGCCATATATATTCCAATATTTTTTTTCATTAATTCAATATCAGGTTCAGTTGGAGAACCAATATCACGTAAATAACCAGAAATATTCATTAAACGTTCTAATCGTACATCATCATGATAAACAATATTTGATAACTAAAATAATTCTCAAAAATCAGTCTTCATTACCAATAAATATTAAAAGAAAGTATAAGAAATTCGTCTTTCTCTCTACCTTACATTCTATCGTTCGATATTCATTTATCTATAAATCAAATCAACTATGAAATACTATAAGTGCTTTCTTTCCTGTTTTCTTTTTACATCATTAAGATTTATTATTTCCTCAGAAGAAGAGGAAGAAGAAAAAACATACTTGTAAATGAAATGAACGGATATCATTCGGAGTTTTCCATGTTAATGTAGAATTATTATCAGACCAATCAGCTTTAATTAAAACTCTCATTGGAGTTGCTTCTGTATCATAATTAACAACAGCTAAACGTGTTAATAAAGCTAAAAATAATAAATTTAACATTATTTATTTGTCTTTTCTAAATCCATAAAAAAAACGTTTTGTTTTCTTACGTGATGCATGTACACTTAATGTACTTGAATTTAATGGTGGCATATGTTGACGTAAACAATTTGTATCATCAAGTGTATCAATTGTATCATCCTCATTAGTATTATTATTATGTACTGTTTGTAATAATTTCATTTTACGTTGTCGTTTTTCTAATTCTTTAAGTGTTTGAGATATTTGTGTACGCATATCAAAACTAAATGCTGGATGATTAGCAGCTAAACAAAATATAATTAATATTTCATCCATTGTTCTTTCATCTAGATCATCACGTTCAAGTAACATATCAACTAACTTAACACTTTCACTAGCTTTTAAATTACGAAATAAACGTAATGCACATGGTCGATTTTTTGCCCAAAGAAGAGCTAAGAAAAATAACAAGATATAGATTAAATATAAATTTTTTTCTTCTTCATTTTAATTAATTACCAATATCAACAATAGCATGTGCACGTGTAAATTGATCAGTTAAATCTAATTTTTCATCTGATTCAATATTAGATTGTTGTTGTTGTTGTTGATTAGTTGATTCATTATTATTTATTAATGTTGCTGTTTGTGTTGGTAAATGATTTGTTTTTTGTTCAGCATGATATAAATATTCATAATCTTTACGTGCTATTTCTTCTAAACAAGTACCCAAATAACGTAATTCTAATGGTTGACATAAATGTAATAAACCATATAAAAATTCAATACGTTTTGCTCCACTTAAATGATTAAAATATCGATGAATTTGTTCTTGATTTAACATGAATAGATTTTATTTATGTTTTTTTAAAAAAATAAATAATAAAAATTTTTTATTTTTAAAAGAATAACTACGACATAATTCTATTCGTTAAATGAATAATATTTTCTAAATGAAGAAGAAGAAGAAAAAAAAACAACAAGAAGTCGAATAAATTTCGATTAATATCAGTCTATAGAGAACGAAGAATAACAAAGCAAAAGAGAATGATTATACCTCGATATCGGGCAGATTTATCCTCTATCTATATTCCCTGTCATATATATCATTCCAGAACTAATTTAACTCCGATGGTAGAAAATAGACAGAATAATTCATCTATCCAATCACACAAATACATTCCATAGATGTCATTAAAAGTCAAAAACTTTTTATGAAATGTTTTTATGTCTGACAATTATGTTGCATATTAATGAAATGAAACGGGTTTTTTTTGCTCCTATATTTCATTTCAATATTGATAAACATGTTTAGAGAAAGAACGTAAGTTGAATATATAAAGCTTTGTTGAATTAGTACTATATGTTTTTAGTACATCATATTTACGACATTTACATTTGGTTGTACATTCAGCACAACAACAGTTTGAATAAAAATTTTGTTTTTTGTTTTTATAAAAATAAGTTCGTATTTTAGTCTACGTTTTCCAGTTTATGTTATTCAACAAGAAGAATCGGTACCACCATTGGAACATGAGAAAAATTTTGATAAAACTGAAAACGATGTGTTTCATACTTCTAAACAAAAAGTAAATAGGAATTATCAAATATAAATTCAATCACGTTCTTGAAATTTTTTAGAAAACCTTCAAACTTCAATATTATATTCCACTAATATTTTTACTATTATGCCTTATAGTTGCTATAGCTTTACTTTCATCTCTTTTAATTAATCATACAAATATTGAACAATGTCCAATTTATAATTGTTCATCGATAATAAATACAACAGTATATTCAAATATAAGCAGTACAACATCGATATTAACAAGTACGAGTACGATAACATATAATAGAAATTTATTATATGGTGCATATTGTAATGGTCATGAAGAATGTACATTATCGAAAAATTTATTTTGTCAGTATGAATACAATTTAAATGAGAAGTATTGTTTTTGTGAAACATCATATTTTTGGAATAAATATACTCAACAATGTGGTTAGATTTTCTTTTTGTTTTTAATATAATCTGTCAATTCTTTTCTTTTTTTCTAGAACCCAAAAAGGATTTAAATGAAGGTAAATGATAGATTTTTTTTCTTTTGAAAAACAAATCGATTGTCTGTTCTTAGTTTGTGAATATGATAATGAATGTCGAATTGATCTTGGTATTACATGTGATCTTCAATCAGGTACAAATATTCGTCGTTGTCGTTGTATGGGTGAATATTATTGGTCAAAATTAAGTAATTGTGGTGATTTAAAAATTCAAGATTTTGTTCATTGTATTGATGAAATCTATATAACATCATGTTTAATAAAAGAAATTGATAATGGAATATTTCATAATGTTAATATTCGACAAATTCAAGATAATAATATTCAATTTGATTATTTTCTACTTGATTCACCTGAAATACAAGAACTTGAACGTATTGAATGTTGTTGGTCAAGAAATAAACGTTATTGTTTTGGAGTTGATAATGAAGCAAATAAATTATTAATATTTATTATTGATAAAAATGGTATTGAATCCTATCATCATATAAATCAATCAGTTATTGGTTTACCTAATGTATTAACACAATCGGATGATAATGTTGTTTGTTATGTTGAAAGTAATAATTCAAATCTTATTTCAATAACAATTGATACAGAAAATAATGATCTATTAACTGTTCATCAACGAAATGGTAAGTAAAAGAAATTAGAAAAAAAAGAAGTTTTTTATTCTTTGATAAAGGTAAAACTTATGGTGAACGATCGTGTTTTATAGCAATTAATCGTACAACTTATTGTTTTTATCGTGATATTGATCATCATTTAATAGCTATAGCTATGAATGGCACAACAATAATACAAGATGTTTATATAGATGTTCATTCTGGCAGGGAGAAAAATAATGTTTTTATGAAATTCGTTATTCTTTTTTTGTTTCTATAGATACAAATTTGAAAAGTGGACCATCTTGTGGTTGGATTGGAGCAAATATTCTTTTAAAATTATATTGTTTTGCTGTATTTAACGATGAAAAAATTCATAGAATTGAACAAAGAGATAATAATTGGAGTGATTGGATAATTATGCCATCCGATAAAATATTTATTCAACGTCCACTTTTTGTTACATCAAAACCACCTGATGATATTAGTACAACACAAAGGTAGTTGTAATCAAAAATAAAATAAAAAAATTACAAATATATATATGTTCTAGTTGTCATGTATTAGCTATTGATACTAGTAATGAAGTTTATGTAAGTAGTAATGTAAATTGTGCTCATCAAGATTCGTTTTCATCATGGTCAATACTTCAAACGGATATTGGTTTATTATCATTTAATGGATCATTTCGTTTACGTGATGGACGTATCGGTGTATATGGAATTGGTATTGATGATTTACCATATTATACAACAATGGATCCTATAACACATACATTTGAACCGATTAAATTAGCGATATCAACAGAATAATATTCTATTTATTAATTTTCTGTTTCTTTTGACTTTCAAATTAAAATAATATAGAATATTTTATCCAAGCGATATCATATCTTACTTATTCATTGAACTCTCTTATCTATAAGTACTATAGTATGTACAATAAATTATTACAGCGAAACTAAATATTCATAGTTTGATGTTAGAATTAACAGAAAAAAGAAAGATTGAAGGACGATTGTAGAAGAAAATCTTTGTCACATGTCCATATATTTTCTATCTTTTTTCTTTTTTACTACTGACTTGGAATTCTTTGCTCTTTTTTTCTTTCTCTTTCTTTTACCTTTTCTCTTTTGCTCACATTATGATTTTTTGATGTAGCTTGTTCTTTACCAATTCTTTTCTATTCGTTCGTCGTCTCACCTTAACTGTCGTGAAGAAGAAGAAGAATTTGTCCTTAACAACGCCATGTCTATTATTTTTTAAGACACATAAGAGTAAAAGTAACAAATAGTTTTATTCTACTGAATATAATGAGTAATAGTAATCGAGATCCATTTTTTGATGATGGTGAAGTTGGTACTGAAGTACAACAACAACAACAAGAAGAAGAAGTTCAACAGCCACCAATACCTGCTGCAAGACGACGATCATCAAGTGATATAGAACCTACTGAAATAATACAAGATCCAATTGAAATACCACGTCCACGATCACTATCTCCAATACCTGAAACACCATTAGTTTTACAACCAGAAGTAATCAATGAAGAAATTCATGAAAGTAAACATTCATCTCGTCGATCATCTTCATCAATTCCATTCGAATCTGATATCGATGATGAAGAAGAAGAATCAAAAGAAAAACCACAAGAAAAAGAGAAAAGTATTATTGTAACTCATTCAACAGTAGATGTTGATATACAAACTGATCCAGTCACTAAACAAGATGAATCAATTCAAACAGAAACAATTCATAATGAAACATTATCAAAAATATCAACTCGTAAAACAGCTTTTCTATCTGAATCACAAGATTTAACTACACCATTAGTTAAAACATTATTTGATCGAACAATATTATCTGCATTACCAATAATTAGTTTTTGTCAACCATTTTCTATGACAAGTCATGTTAATGATATTATTCTTGCTATGCCACGTCATCTAATGATAATACATAATCAAAATTCTATAAGTGTTTATCCATGGCAACAACCACATGAATCAATATCAACAATTCTTGAATGTTTTTGGTGTTCATTTCTATATAAACTTCTTGTTACAACTATTGAAGATAATCGTTTATATATATATGATTTTGTATCAATTATTGATTCAATTAAACTTCGTGGTTATCCATTATCAATTAAATATCAAAGTTATAAATCTCAACAAACAACAACGTCTTCATCTTTATTACCACCATCATCTCGTCATCAACCATTACCAGCTGTATGGTCACAAACACGATTTACAAAATCAAATTCTTTAGGTATCTATTATTGTTATATTAGTGATCGTCATTATTCATGTATGTTAACACGTATTGATCATAATACACGACAACATGTTAAAGCAATTGATTGTTCTGGTGGTAGTCTTAATAATCAAGCACGTATTTGTGCTATGGGTTTATCTGATGATCGTGTAGCAATTGTTTTAACTAATCTTATTATGACACTTTATAATGCTGAAACATTAATAGGTTTAAAACAAATAAATTTAGCTCGTTGGAATAATTATGGTATACGTGGTATTAGTACACTTATTTATTTATGGAAAACATGGCTTATATTTGATCCAATTGATAATAAAGTTGTTGGTGTTGCAAAACGAAAACGACAATTTGTTAGAATGTTACCTGAACAACCCATTAATGCTTGTTCAATGGATAATGGTACATTAGCTTTATGGATGGGATATCCAGGTGCACTTGTTTATTATCGTTTGGTGGATGAAAAATAGTTTAATTGCATTTTTGTTTCTTTTTGTAAATAATATTATGATAGATCAAAAAGAGAGAAATTCATGCTTTTTGTTTTCTTATTACATACTATTTCTAAGTTATCATCGTATAAAATAATAAAATGAAAAATATTTTTCTTGTGAACGATATTGTACTTCTATAAAAATTTGTCATTATGTATTTTAGCAGTATATAGAACGAATAGAGAAATAAACATATCTTTAAAGTTTATGTTATTTTTATTTTCACAAAAGAAAACAAAACTAAGAAGAAAACAAACTAAAGAAAGTTATAACAATCTTTTTTTTCTTTTTTCTTCTTCTTCTTCTATCATCATAAATCCAAATTTGTAAATATCTGTCAAATAATTGTACAGATAAATTTGGAATAAACGAGGAAAAAAAGAAATATAATCAAACAAACAAAAAATAACAACAAACAACAACGATAAAAGTAAATATAAAAACAAAACGAAACATAAAAAAACATGTTACTTTTTTTGTGCTAAACGTGTTTCTTCAAGATCATATGCTGATACAACACTACCTGATGGCATACGAGGATATGCATTTGTATATATACTTGAACCAAACCAACTTTCTAATGGTGAACGAGTTTCTTGAGAATATTCCTGTGGAATTAATAATGGATTTCCTTGTTGAATTTGTTTTTGATTTTTCATTATATTTAATTGTTCATTAATTAATCGAACTAAAATTGGTTTTAATGAATTTTGTTCATTAATATTAAGTGTTTCAATTAAATGAAGCATTTGTTCACGTTCATTTGAACAACCTTGTTCAAGATATTGAAGTAATTCCTGTTGAGTAATATCTATTAATACAAAAAAAAGATATATTTTAATTTTATTTAATAAAAAATAAATTTACTTTTAACACCTGGTGATAGAAGACGAATAAGATTATTCATTTCTGTATAACTTTCATTTTGTTCTTGATTCCAATTTGTTGACTAGAATTATTTATTGAAAGAAAAAAATTAAATCAATTAATGTCTTTTTTTTCTATTTGCTTTATACTTGTGTATCATTTGAAAAACAAGATTCATTTGATGAAGAATTTTGTATATTATTTTCATTGACCGTATTACGTATAAGTGAATTTAATAATACTGCTTGATTATATATACGTGTATGTTCAGGATTATTGGATGTATCAAATAATGATGGTAGAGAATCATTTTGTTGAGTGGCTATAATATTTAAAGAAATAAATCGATATTTTCTCATTTTTTATGAACATACGTGATGGTGGTGCAGAATAGAAATCATCATCGTCGTCATTTGTATTATCTCGATTAGAATTATTTGATTTATTGATATCGATAATTGGTGTTGATGGTGTTTGTATACTTGTTGAACATCGAAGTTGATCAGTAACCAATTGTGCGAGTACATCTTGATTCTGTTTCACAGTAGTTTGAGTTGCCATTGGTATATGTAATGGATGTGTTACATTCTAATTAAGAAAAGAATTTTAGCAAATGGATGTAAAAAGAAAAAATACTTTTTGATTTTGATTTGTTGAAAATGGCCATGCAAATGTATTGTTATTATACGAATTTGATGGTTCAGGTGTTGTTGGTGTACAAAAAGCAGATAAACCATTATGATAATGTTCAGATGTTGATAATAGATTATTGATATATGGTGATGATTGTTGATTTTCAATTTCATTTCTATTTCTGTAAAGAACAAAAATGAAAGTTTTTTTTATAGAAATAAATAAAATTCTTAACTGTTGATGGTGTTGAGCTTGAAATAAACGTTGTAATATAGGATTAGTATTTGGATTTTGTTCATTATTAGATCGATAGTTAGGTAACAGAGATCTGATAGGTTTTGAATGTATTTCAGATTGATTTAAATTTTGTCTTTGATATGGCATTGATGGTTGTGATGGTTGATGATATCGATTTGTATTTCGTTGATTTTGTGCTTGACGATGACTATAATCATCGATCCAAACTTGTGATGATGAATTTTGATGAGGAGTTGATAATAATGATGTTGGCACTGCTGATGGTTGATGACGTGTTACAACAGATGTCAATGCAGCTACTTGATGAGGTGTTAAAGGATCTTTTGGACGACGATTTTTGACTTTCTATAATTTATTTTATATTTAGAATTAAAGAATTTTATAAAAGTAAAATTACTTCAACAATAACTGGATCAGAATAATCGTATTTATGCATTCTAGTTGGTAGTATTGGTCCATCACCTGCACCATCACGTATACCATATGAATCCAATCGAAATTTACCAGCTTTTTCATTTAACATTCGATCAAGATCAATATAGTTTTCATCACTAGAATTAATAAATCAAATTGAATAAAAAATAATTCATTATTATATTTAATTTTACTCAAGAAAACGTCGTTCAATAAGATGATCAGGAAAAATAGTTGTTTCAGGTGGTGGACGCATAGAAAGTAATGTAACCTAAAATTTAAAGAAATAAAACATTTATTTTATATAAAATAAATATTTTTAACAAACAGTTGTATAACGATATGACATGCGAGCATAGTTCATCATTGTTTGTTGTGATGTAATTGGAGTTCGAAAATTTTGTGATGATGAAAATGAAGGGGAAATCATTGTATCGTTCATTGAAAATGATGGCATTAATTGAGGTACACTACGACTTGTTCGACAATTTGAATGCATATCATCTCGAATATTTCCGAGTAACATAATTCTGATTTTGAGAATAGACGAGACACACAACGGTTTAATAGTAAATAGAGAAATTCAAAAAGGTTATCTAGAATAATGAAACGTACTGAAAGACGTGCATCAATTTCTAGAGAAATGAAAATATAACATGTGCTATTGTTTTTGTTATTGTTTTTCCTTCTATTATTTGAATTTTCTCGATAAATACGATAGAAAGGAAAAGAATTAAATCTAGGTATTCATTAGAAAAAAATATAATAAACAATATTATGTTTCAATTTTGGATACAAATAAATAAACATGGATAAAAATTTTCGCGCGTCTCTGTGATCTAATTGACACTATGGATTATAATGTTACCAGTAAAAAACGATTTTTTTGATACTTTTATTAAATATAATGTAATTATATTCAACAGCAAAATAATTAAAATAGTTCATAGAAATTAAAATGAAAAAGTATAAAATAATGATTAATGAAGTTTTCGTATTATAATTAATAAAGAAAAAAATCTATAAGGAGGTTTATAAAGTTTCTTAGAATGGATATAATCAATAAGCCAATCGAAAATTCAAAAATGATCTAGTATTTTACATACATAAACAAAAATCAGTTTCTTATTTTGTTAATACATTACTACGTAATACTAAAATTTACGAATTCCGACAGTTCTAAATTCTTATTCATAACTTCTATCAATACTAAGTAAACTAGGTAGACGTTCAGCAATAGTTTAATTAAATATTAAAGATGAAATTTTTATTTCATGATAGTGTAAAAAAATGAGATATAATATCATTTCAATGAAAAAGTAAAGAGTTATTTTTTTAACAATAGTCTCATTATGTGTTTATTCAATAGCTGTTATCTTCAAATTTTCTATTCTTAATTACATCTCTAAGTCCATAGTAGCATTAGCTTTATCGTGAAAATAACACCTATAATAGGAATTGAGGGTGTGGGTGAGGATAATTTGATGATGGAAAAGACATCCACATACTTCCGAAATTTAAATGACATGAAAATGAATCGGTTATACGACGTAACAATTATAGTTTTTTGTATGGTAGTAAGGGCTTATTAGAAAAGTCTAATCTGAAGAAAATCATAACAATTGATTGAGTGTCATTCGTGATATTGAACTTTTATATTCAATAATACAACGGTACAATAGATGTGCACTTCACTCATATATAAATGCGGATTTTAGCAAGCAATATCATTTAGTTGTAGAAGGCCATTAAGATTGGTTTGACTTAGTTCGCACTTGTTTTTCCTGGGTGAGTTCGTGTTCTTTTTCCAACCACACGTAGCCTAACTGAATTGCTGTTTGTAGTTCTGATGCAGGCTCCGCTCGCTGCCTTTGTGCTTCCAGTTCAGCTGCATTCAGGATTTTATTCAGCTTACCAATAACTTTTTGTTTCCCAATGGTTGATACAAAAACTTTAACTAACTGCTCTTGTAATAGCGCCAATTTTTCCAGGTTGCTTGTCATAGTTGCACTATACATATTGTTTTTATCGGCGTGCATCTCTGATTCGTCGAAATCCAAAATTTCGTGATACAATACACCCAATTTACAAAAGTTATAAACGTTTTGATTTTTGAGGGTGTGGGTGTAGGTGCGGAAGAAATGAAAAGGCAGGTATACTCTCACTGACACCCACACCCACATCCTCAAATATTTCTTTTAGTTTATGTTATTAACTACAACACAAGAATATAAATCAGTTGTTACTAATTAAGATTGCAAAAAAGTTTACTTTTCTTCGAATACATGTTTTAGTTGAAAAGACAATTACTGGTAATAATTCAATGAAAACTCGACCTGCTGGATATGATTCACTTACTGATGCTCAGACATATACGAATTATTTAATTACTTATAGAGCCATCTTTTATTTAAACTGTAAAGCTTTTTAAGAAAGAAAATGACAAATTATATCACAAAATTTTTATTTATATATAATTAGGACAACACTCGTAATTTAATAATAGAGGAAAATAACGATAAACATTTTCTAAATTTATTGAGCCTTTCACACTCAATCGTTTAACCGTAGCACAATTGCGTCGTGTTTTTTCTCTGGTAAAATTCTTTGTCACAACTTTCAATCGTTCATAATCGACTATTAATTCGCTTAGACTTGGTAGAATTGTTTTTTTTTCATTGAGAAATTGATTAATATAATAAATATGTGCAAAACTAAG